CAACATAATACTGTAAGACTTTTTAAAAAAAAAAAAAACCACAATCCTATGCCATACAACATCTACACAGGCTGGATCTTGGGTCGTCTGGGATCATTCACAGATTGGCTTAGACTCTGCAATCAGATGCAGGTGGACCCAAACCCCAGCTCTGCCACCTGCCAACTGTGTTACTCTGAGCAAATGCTTCCCTCTCCCTGCATCTAGTCACCCTCATTTCACAACATGGGGGCCCAGGAAGTGTCAGATGCCAATCCACCCAGGGCCCTCAAACCCTCCTCAATGCCCTAGGACTGGCCACTCACCTGTGATGAGGACAAGTGCTGAGAGGCAGGCGAAGGCAGGGACATCAACCACCAAGCTATGCAGGGACCGCGAGAAGGCCAGAATACTGTCGATCCAGTCGCCAAAGCCTCGGGCGCACTGCAGCCGGTGCAGCACTAGGCCGGAGCAAAAGATGAGCTTCCCCTCAGCTGGCTTGGACCTGGCGGGCAGGGATACAGAAGATAGTCAGAGAGACTGGAGTGCAGGGCAGCAGGGGAGGGGCCAGCAGGCAGCAGGCAGCTCACCGGTAGGCCAGGCGGAGAATGAAGAGCTCTAGGAAGGCCGACTCCAGCAGCAGGTCCTGGTCACCTGGGGACAGCTCGGCGAAGCCAGGGATCTTCTCGGCCCACTTGCGGATAACCTCCAGGGACCCCGAGAGCAGGTCATAGAACTGCTGCACATCCCCAGCATCCTCCTTCCCGAAGTGGGGCAGCACCAGCTCCTGGAACTAGAGGGGCGGTCCGGTGGGGTCAGTACCCCACCAAGGCCACAATCTATGGCCATGTCATGTATCAGATGCCAGATCCCAGAGGTGAGAAAGGAACTGAGATGCTGCCCACCTCATGCCTGCCAATTCTCAAATATTCACCCAGGGCAGAGGCTGCTGGAAGTAGCACATTTTTCTAATTGGCCATCCACCCAAGGGGGTACATTTTTCCATGTGGTCAGCCCACGAGGGGCTCCTCTTTTTTCAATTTGTCCAATTGGGGAAGGACTTTTCCAACGCGCAAAGGCACTGGATGTGGGGTAGGCAGAGCTCACCTTGGAGTAGTCCAGTTTGGCTGTGCTGGGCCCTGAGTCCAGGTGCGCCCGGACCAGGGAGGTGAGGAGATTGGCAGGGGAGGCATCTGGGGGCTGCTTGGGCTTTGAAGGGAGCCGCCCCCGCCGCCCCTTCAGGCTGTCTGTTCGGACAACTGCAGAGAAAAAGGCAGGGATGAGGAAGGGAGGAAGGGACCCAGGGCACCCTACGGGGACCTTACCCCACCCCCCATAAGTAAGGAAAGTGAACTAGAGGTGGGATAGAAATAAAGTCCAGGCATGCCCTCCCCTGAGGCCCACCAAGGCAGTTGTCTGGGGGACGCTGCAGGCCCTTCCCTGTCAGGCCTGCCTCTGTTCCACCTGCCCCGTCCCAACCACCCACCTTCTTTCACCATGCCCACGGCCAGGCACTTCTGGAAGCGGCAGAACTGGCAGCGGTTTCGCCGCCTCTTGTCCACAGGGCAGTCCTTGTTAGCCAGGCAGATGTACTTGGCGTTTTTCTGCACTGTGCGCTGGAGCGGGGGACAACACGGAACAGGCTGTCAGAGTATGGGGAGCGGGGAGCCCAGGGGTGGGGACCGTCCAGATCCTGCTGCCATCACAGACAAAAGCACTCTCTGTTCACAGCTATTTTTCTAACATTTGGGTGGCAGGGGAGGGTGAGATGGAGAGGTGGGGGAAGGAAGGAAAAGTCTTGGAGACGTTGAGGGAGATTTCTGCCTCAGGAGCAAGACCTCCAGCACACCAGATTAGGGCTAGGGGCTTCCTGGCAGCCCAAACACCTTTACTTCTTAATGTGCCTGCAACCACCAGCCCCCCTTCCTTGGGACATATAATAGAGGGCCACAGGGGTGGGGGGGAGCAGTGGGGACAGCAAGCTAAGCAGGCATCCGGAGCTGGGACAAACAGACAGCCTGTTCCCTAGTCTACCTCCAGCCCTTAAGCACCAAGCCCTCTTCCCAGAGCCTTTCATCTCATGCCAAGAACATGAATGCTTGGGGCCCCTCTTCTCACCAGGACCTTGAGTGGGGAGAGGATTGGCAGAGGAATACCACAGGCTGGCCATTAGAACCTCCCCTCCTGGGTACCCCTGCAGCCTGCACTCTCTGCCCATATCCCACCCCTTTCTCCAACTCACTGCAGTCCCACTGGCTCTCTATGCCCCAGTACATGAAAGATCCCAGCCACCTGCCATGTCCTGGGGACCCCTCTGGCAGGGCTGTAACTTCCTGGAGGTTAGGACTAGTTGAAAGAACTCGAGGTAGGCTACCACAGATCCCACTGGGGTGAGAGACCAGCCTGTCTCCACTTCTCATGAAAAGCCACACCTCGCAGCCCAGTACCTTGAAGAAGCCCTTGCAGCCCTCGCAGGTGCGGACTCCGTAATGCTGGCATGAAGCGTTGTCTCCACACACAGCACAGCGGCCCTCACTTCCACCTGGAGCCCCACTCCGAGACTTGGCTGAGGTCACGGGCACATCCAGCATCCCCGGGCCATCAAGGTGTGGAGAAGTGGGCAACAGACCTGGGAAAGCTGTTGGCATGGCATAGCTCTCCCCGTCCCCCAACTGGTGGGTGGCTTGAGAGGGAAACAGCTTTAGGGGACTCTGGGCCAGGCTGGGGCTGGGGCCGGTGGGAGGGCTGAAGGAAAAGAAGGCTGGCGGCTGGGGGTGCCCAGGAGCCTTGGGAATCTGTTCTGTCCATGCCCGCAGGCCTTCATAAGTCTGGTTAGGTGAGAAGGGACTGAAGGAGCCATCCCAAGGGGAGAGCTGGGGCGGCTGGAGGCCAGGCGTGGGTGGTGACGGGGCTGAGCAGGGACTGCCATAGTAGTCAGAACCACTGGAGGACAGGGTCTCATCTAGTGGGCCACTCAGGGTGCCAGGGTAGCAGCCGTACACCTGGAAGTCCTCAAACTTGAAGGAAGCAGAGGCAGGAGAGGTGGCTGAGGATGACGATGTGGAGGAAGCCGAGGAGGAGGTCGAGGAGCAGGGCTGGGCTGTCCCGGGCAGCTGGTAAAGAAAGGTGTCAAACTCCCCCGTGTAGCCATCCATGAAGGTGCTGAAGCTGGGCAGGGCAGTGGGGGCCGTAGGAGCCGCCTCAGAGCTGGCCAGGTCCATGATGGGCTTGCTGAGCTCAGAGGTCAGGGGGTCATTTGCCAGGTGGTCACGGGGTCCTGGGCTCGGTGCTGGTGTCCCATATTGGGCTTGGATACAGGGCATCTCTGGAGAAGGAGACCAAGCAGGAGGCAGGGGGAGTCAGAGAAGTCTGAAGCCTGACCTCTAAGTATAGGCCCCCAAGCAGCCAGGTGGCAGGAATCATAGCCAGACATGGGATCCTGAGGCATTAGGGCCACAGCCCACCAGAGAACCCAGGAATCCTGGTCCCTAGCCAGAACACCATCTCAACCTCCTTGTCACAAAAACCCTGGGCAATGGCCCAGCAAGAGTGGGCTCAGTCAGAAGGCCAGCCACACCCAGTCAGCCTGGGAACCCTAGGGAAGGCATCCAGCCAGCATTTCTCTGCTGGAACAGGAGGAAGCTGTGTTCTTCCAGCCCCCTGCCCTCCCTCACCGGGTAAGGCGTGGGTGGGGGCTGGTTGGGAGAGACAGCAGGCTCGATCTTAGCCTAGTCCCCAGGAGCAGATATGTTGTGTCTCCAACCTGGCACTTCTGGGAATATTCCCAGGCACAGCCTAGGCTCGGCAAAGCCCCCTCCTCCCTCTACAATGCCTGGGAAGAAGGACATCCCCCATATGGAAAAGGAGCTGAGAGTGAAGGCTTGCTGCCTAAGAAAGCAGCCTAAGTAGCAATGAGCCCATTCCCCAACCCCGCCCCTGAACAAAGGCTGCAGATCCCACCTAAGCCTTAGTCCTGCCATCTGGGGATGGGTACCCACTCTGCACTGTCTGGATTGCTCCCAGAGGCAGGGAGGAAGGGACCTCAGGTCTCCTCACCCTACCCCAGCTCCCCAGGGAATTGGGTAACCTGGCTCCAAACCTTTAAAGGCCATATGCTAGAGAGGGGCAGAGGGGAGGCAGGACGGAGGAGAGAACAGACCCTGGGACCGTCCAGAAGAATGGATAGCACCTAAGAGGAATTTCTCCACTACCAATAAAGCATTTTTCCCTGTTGTTTTTATAAGAGAACTCTTGGGGTCCAACAGGAGACTTAAGGTGGCTATGCAGGGAGAAGGAGCCTGAGGGTAGAAGACATCCTGCCCCTGCCTGGATCCCTTTACTAAAGAGAGTCTGTACCTTCAAAATTCCAGAAGCTAAGGCAAAGGGGGTTATATCCCCCTAATCCTGAGGAGCCTGAAGGAGCAGGGATAATTACACCGTTCAGGGGAGGACCCTTAAGTTTCCAGATTGGTTATAAACTAATAGGACAGTTTCCCATCCCACCTCCATGCCTGGGGTCTGCATGGCTCTGGCCTCACCAGTCAGGAAGAAAAACTGGGTAAGAAAGCACGCTGGGACAGAGTGCCATAATCAAGGGGGATGCAGGAGGGGGCAAAGGCAGGGACCACCTCCTGGCCAAGTGCTGGGGAGTTCTCTGGTTCTAGCTTTTTTTCTCACCTCCATGGGCCCCGGACAGGGTAGTACCACCCCTTGCCTGACACTCCCACGACCAACCCAGACAACAGAGTCCCTCCAAGCTCTGGCCCCACCCACCCAGTGGCGTCTGTCCACAGGCGCACAGCACCTGTGAGAGATAAGGGTGGCCACGTCTGCCTACACTAGGAAAGCCTGCGCAGGGATGGGTTTGGGGTGGAGAGGCAGCGGCCGTGGAGGGCTGGGCGTTCCAGCCTTATTCAAATCCTGTTTCTCCACTTGGACGTCCCACATCCGGATCAACCCGCACCAACTTATCCCCCCACCCCCATGCAGGTACTTAATGACCCAAGATATATGGACCCACATGGGGGTGGGGGCAGCAGAGTAGTTGCACGGGGAGGAGGAAGAGGCGGGGTTGAAGAAGGGAGGGGGAGAATCCGGCTTCAGGCAGGTCCTGGCAACAATGTGGTTTGCACCTGTTATGCTGAACTCGCCTCAGGCTGCACACTACCTGTATGATCCAACGGGACTATAGGGGTAGGGAGGTGGGTATTCTCCAGGTAGTACCACACCAGAGACTACATTAGCAACTGCCAGGATCCCCAAGGACCAAAATTTCCATCTCTCTCCCCCCTCCTTTGTCTCTGTCTTTCTCTGTCTCTCTCAGACGAGCGGCGCATGATCCGAGCTACAGCTAAAATAATCTTCCCCGTGCTTCCAGAGACCCTGCTCCTGCCCCAAGAAGGCTCTTTTATTCCAACATGCAGCAGCACCCCCTGCACAGTTTAGCCACCGGTGCTGGCCATATCCTTGGGCAACCCAGACGTCTCCTGAGATACTTCAGACAGAAACTTCAGGCTGGGGATCCCGGCAAACTAAGCCACAGCCTCTGAAGTGTTAAGAAAACAACCAGGGGCACGGAAGGGGGTGGACAAGCTGGGAGGAAGTAGATCCTTTTGGAACTCCAATCCTGATAGAAGCCTCATGGATCCAAGCAACCGAAGCTCAGTATACCTTTCCCCCACTGTCCTGAAAACCTCCACCATCACTTCAGTCCAGGGCGCGGTGTACCCAGTTGGGCACCCTGGAAGACAGAACTACAGCTAGCCTGACTCCAGGCGCCAACCCTAACCCCCTGCGGCTTCCACCTTGCACAGACACTCCCCCCATCCCGCGCCAAGTAGACTCCAGTCAGATCTAGGTCCTCATCCAGTTCTAACTGCTCCCCCCGACCAACGCCAGAGCTGCACCCTACACCCGTCTTCCTGCATGCTGACCCTACAACATCCTTTCTACCCGCGCGTACACTCATCTCATTCATGCAACATCCCCTATAAACCAAAACAGAGAGCTCAGCTGAGCTGCACACTCCTCGTGGGGGTACCTACCTGGCCGGCTCCTGCTCCCCCTGCCGGGACCAGCTCCCCCTACCCGGGACCAGCGTCCCGAGTCGCAGCTTGATCCCGAGTGCTCTCCCGCCGTCCTGCACACTACCTTGACTTTCGCAGCCTGAGCCACTGGGGCTCCCCGGCGGAGCCGACCCTCCTCTTAAGCTCTCCGTGACGCACGGGGAGGGGCGGGGGCGCCTCTGACGCACGGCCGGCAAGCCCTGGCCATACAAGGGCGCGGGGGGCGGTGCGGTTCCGGCGGGAGGCGGTGCGCGCTGGGGAGCCCGAGGGGGCGGAGCGAGAGGGGGGGCCTGGAATGTCTGTGCGTGTGACGCACGCGGGGTTCCATTGACGCAGGGAGAGCGGACTGTTTGATCTATAAATAGTCCCCTCGCGCTCGCCGCGCTGGCTAAAAATAGTTCTTGGACTCCCGATCTACCCCCACGCGCCGGACCCAGGACCCAGTCCGGGGCCCCCAGGTCCGAAATAACCGGCCCGGAGGGCCAGAGCCCGAGGAGAGGGCGTTCTAGAGTCGTGGCCGCAGGGCTTCCCCGACGAGGATCTCCTAACCCTCCAGCTGCTCTGGGAGCCACAACCGCGCCCGTTCCCTTGGCCCGCTCCGCCTTTGCACCCTCCTAAGCCCTTCCTGGAGGCCTGGGCGGGGCAGGCAACTCAGGGACACACCTGAGAACCTGAGCCCCTACCTCAGCCCGAAGCGCAACCTGTGGACTTAACCAGTCTTCCCCAGCAGTCTCCCCAGCAGGGTCTCTCCAGCAGGGATGTCGGGGCTGAGGGGTTGCCCGAGGGCTGTCAGTCAGAGCCTTATTCCCTCCCCACAATTTCCCATGCAAAGTACCTTCCGGAGGGCAGGGATTTGCCATGCCCAAGATGGGCCAATGGGCTCTACTCTACTCGCTGAACTTCATTTCTGACCAGTCCCCTCCTCAGTCCCTTACAGGTTGAGTGAACTCTAGTGGGAAATTACCGAATTTCAGAACCGGGTGGAGCCTGAGAAATCTTTCTGAATTTGTGCAGACTCTTCCCCATTTTATAAATAAACAGGCTCAGAGAAATAATGGCACTTACTCAAGGTCACACAGGGAGGCGGTGGCCCTCTGGGGTGGAACCCCTGGGGCCACTAACTGCATCTCTAGGGTACCTTTTCTTGCCCTCCCCTGTCCCTGATCAGGGAGTGCCACTCTCACCTCACCTCCAACACCTGTGGAACGAGTGGCTTTGACCTGCCCTATGAAGCAAGCGCCTGCCAGGGA